GGTATTAGGTTTTCGTAAGAAAGAGGGGGATTGTGGGAGACACAGGCCTTTTATAGTCACTTCCTCTGTTATGTGATTGGTTGCCTGTGTGCCTATACAGTTTTTTCTTTCATTTTGATAATATTTATATTCCTCTATCTTTGCTGCTGAGAGTAATAAAGAAAGAGATATGCATAATAGGAGCCTCCGTGTCTTTAATAAAATCATGACTTTACGTCATGTTAATAGTAAAATCTGGGAATTTAATGCAACTCTACCTCTAGTGGAAAAACTCAATTTAGATGAATGACCAGAATAATGTATGAAAATATATTCAAATATATGTTATTTTGTCTCGACAAAAAGATTTGGACAAAAATGTTAACGTAATATACAATAGGATGAGAGCTTGAGATAGGACAGCTAACGTGTTATCCAACCTTAGCTCCACCAGCTGTTGTTGGATAAATATGGTGTGTATTTAAATGTAATTCTATCAAGCAATATACACAGTTCTATAACTTAGTATAAACACAGGTGCATTGTTATTGCAAGTAAAATTAATATTGGAATTATAAGGACAAGAACAGAGTATTTTTTCCATTTTTTTTAATTAAATTTTAAATTGTATTAATGAGATTTTTTCAATAAACTCCAAATTGTAGTGAATTGAAATACAAATGACAAAATTTAGGCAACAATAACAGATTTTGAAAAATGATCAAACTCATCTACAGTTTAGATTTTACAGTTTAGTTTTCGCAAATAAACTCCTAATTTTTGGGGAGAAGGGGGTTATTTGCTAAATTGGGGGATTTTGACAAAAGAAATGCACATTATAGACTGAAATAGCCATTCTGGAAATAAATAGTTTGGGAATGTCTGCCATTGGAGTATTTTGACACTTAATTTGCAATTCCATTGTCAGTTCTCCACAATGCATGTTTTAGTGATTAAACACCTTTTGTATGTTTTGTATTATTTAGTTGTGGTTTTGTGACCTTACTCTTGAACAGCAGCAAAAACAGTCTCTGCTAAAATAATTGACTGGTAATAAATAGAATTACTTTTTTCCCCTCCAAACTTCAATTTTAATATTGCTGTAAAGATGCTGCAAAATTATATGTTTACATTTTTTGTTATCCCTGTTTATTCTTGTTTATTCTACAAATCGAGCTACAGATGAATAAATACAGGTTAAAACATATCCTCAATAAAATAACCTGTAGCATATATAAAGATAGCATTTATTAGCAGTCCTCTAATCATAGCTTTATGGGAAAAAAAATTTAAGCACTATCCTCTCTTTTTCTGTCTTCTAGACTAAAAACAACAATAAATTAGAATCACTATCCTCTGTCTTCTAAACAGTGCTTCTAATTTATTTTACATTTTTCTGCCTTCTAGATTAAAAGTAAAAATAAATTAGAAGCACTATCCTCTGTCTTCTAAACAGTGCTTCTAATTTATTTTACATTTTTCTGCCTTCTAGATTAAAAGTAAAAATAAATTAGAAGCACTATCCTCTGTCTTCTAAACAGTGCTTCTAATTTATTTTACATTTTTCTGCCTTCTAGATTAAAAGTAAAAATAAATTAGAAGCACTATCCTCTGTCTTTAGTGGCATAGCATAAAAATGATGTCACTTTTCAAGGTTTGTACTCTTCCCTAAGAACCTTAAAGATTTTCAGATCTAAGGGGCAAATGGTGTCTGTAAAAGCTTTAGACTTTTTTTAACAGAGGATGCCAATATAACTTGCACTGTAGTGCAAACAAACTATAAAAGAGGAGTGATAACGTGAATTTAAATTCCAAAGGGGTTTCTGTGTTGGTTTCCTAGCCCACCAGTCAGTAATGCGTTTGTGGGAATTCACTCCTTTTTGTCTCTAAGAGGGGGGGGAAAAGCCAAATCTACATGGTGGCCCAGTCTAGAAATCTATTCTTTAGACTTTCTATTGATGTGAATGAAGTGGCCTGAGACCCTTTATTTGATCTACTCAATTGCATAAAGTGACAGAATTCTAATATATTTGTTTAAACCTCTTGAATGGGGATTTCACTTTCTAACTTGCAAATAAAGCCTGGATCTGCTAAGATTTTTTTTTGTGTGTGTGTGTTGTGTTGTTTTCTCTTACCAGAGGGACCTATTTGGTACAACCATGATGCTGTTTGGAACAGCAGTGTAACCCATTGGGTACCAGGGGGATCTAAAAAGTTGTTTGCAGTGCAATGTTTTGCAAGCCACACTCTGGTGGTGTAGGGGTTAAAAGGCGGTTTGGGGAATCAAAAGGGAGAAATAAAGAAACAGATGCGATGTAATTGTGAATTCCATTAGTGAGGTCTGAGACTATTGTAGGGGGCACTGCAGGAGATCTACGAGGTTTATTCTCCAGGCTTTAATTGAAACATATTAATTAGATAATTTGTTACTAGCTGAAATGAATACAAATAAAAAAAACACTTTATTTTTTTTATTTTTTTTTACATTTTCTATATTTGACCCTTTGTGTGTTTGTCAGTGTATGTTATAGGTTTCATGTTTTCCATTACTGCTGGGAAATACATTGTATTTACCAAACTAATTTATTAGCTAATTTATAAAAAAAAAAAAAAAGTACTTTTTTTTAACCAGATGCTTCAATAGAATCTGCTGTATACGGATTAATATGAATAGTTTAATAAATAAAAAAAATGCTATGAAAAGGTTAGTTTTGACATCAGAATTGCTGGGTTAGGAAATTAATATCATGTGAGTAGACATTAGAAAAACCTGCCTTTTCTAAATGTATACCTATAATTACTAACCAAAATTGATATTAAATTGGTAGTCCTAAATTTCTTTCTTTAGAACACACATATCAACCACAAAAAAAAATTGAAACAGAGATTTGAAAACATTGTTAATACACCAATTTGATAAATACATTGTCTAATGAAGTATATTCTGCCAATTTCTAAACTAACTAGAGTTTAAAAAGATTTTCTTCTTAATGTATTTTTTTTTTTTTTACTATCTATAAATATGTGTATTAACTTTGGATTTAAAACATTATTTATAAACACTAATTAATTAATTTCTCCCTCTACCTGCTAATGTGTAGGCCTGCTTCATGTATGCTCAACTAAAAGAAAAGGTTCTAGTGATTTTTTTCACAGTTTTTTGTTTTATATTCTTAAACAGTGTTTGTTTTATTTTAATATGCGTTTCATTGCAACATTGTGCAGAACATTGCATGGGAATCAGTCTCTCTCTTAAACAAAAATGTAATGAATTGAAAAGTAAATTACAAAATGTAGGCAAAAATGGATGATTTAAAAAAAAAAATCTCTTATTCAGCTATAGTCACATCTTGGCTATTTTAGCTAAAATTGTGTAATATTATTTTAAATTCCCTATGAATAAGAGTTTAGTGAATAAGCCCCATATGATTTGGATCTTCGATTTCCATTCTATAAAATCCCAGCTCTTGCTCTAAGCATTGCTACAATTTTAATTGTAGTTCCTACAAAGATCGAAGTATAGGGCTGAATTTAAAAAATTGGGCTATAAAGAAAAATAAATGTAAATTTAGCAGATGATGACATATAAACTATGCCATTTTAGCCTACGTTTTGCTAATACGTTATAAACTCACTGTTTAGTGAATAGACCACTATGTTGCAGCATTACAGGGGTTAAATCTTCCCCACCAGATCTCATCCTTTCTGGCATATCATATTGGCATAAGCATTTTTTAACTTGATGAATGAAATCACTTGTCTATAATGTGACACGTCTTAGCAACTTCATGAATTTTAATAAGCAGAGTGATTCATTTCTACTTATTTCTGCATTGCATCAAAACTACATGTTTTCAAATAAACTTAGAAAATCTAAGAAATGTATATTATTACAGAGAATATATCTGACAGATTTATATTCCTTGTATCTTTTCATGCATGTTAAATTACTTAAACTGGATCTAAAAATGTGCAGAGCTAATATTCTCCAGATTTAAAAATAACAGCTTTTATTAATTTAATATACCTACAATAATTATTGCGAACCTTAAAATTGAGACTTTGGTGTATAGGTAAACATTGGCCATTTTAATCTGTGCTTGCGTGCTTTTTGGATGTGTGCAACTGTGCATGTTGAACACCAATTAAATCGATCCTAACATTCTGAATTCTAACTTGCATTCACTGTTACAAACTAACTGTGACCTATCAATGAATTCCTATGCGATATGACACCTGCCTAGCATGATTTGTTAGTAATATATATATAATGTATCTATCCTAATGCACAGTAAATGCACAGTAAATCACTGACATGATATATACCTCTATATATAAATATAAATATATATACTTATATATAGATCTATATATTACCATTTATGTATACTTGTGCAATATTATTTTAAATTCCCCACAAATAAGATAAATAAATCACTATTATAATGAATATATATAACGTATATCTTTTTTTATTTTTACAATCATAGTGATAAGTAGTTTTGGCACCTGTTCACAACCAGTATGTAGTGAAATATAATAAAATAAAGGTTTACCTAACTGATTACTAATTACCCAGTTTGCTCTACTTTCAGTGGAGAAAAAAAAGAGATAGATAGACAGACAGACAGATAGATAGATAGATAGATAGATAGATAGATAGATAGATAGATAGATAGATAGATAGATAGATAGATAGATAGATAGATAATACTAAAATCTATAAGATTATACAGCATGGTGATTTTTCTTTTAGCAAAGAGTTAATCGCCTTAAAGAGTTAATAGTGCAAGTTGTGGATAATTGTGTGTTTCTGCTCCCATTGTACATGTATGCAAACTCCAATCTCATCTGGCAAGTCAGGTTTTCAAAGGTCAACACACCACATCCAATAATATTGGAAGAAACATCGTTTTTGCTGCAAAATAATAATAATAAAAATATATATATATAAAATAAAATAAAAGGCAAACACGTATTTAGAATTAACATTTTAATGAGAAAATATTATTTGAACGACTGTTTTCATAATTTAACGCAGACAAAGTTTCATCATGTCCTTCTGGAAACACACATGCTGAAGCTACACACATCAACAAATGCCATGCCTTCTGTACAACTAGTGGTTCGACAATTCATCTCTTTACATTTCTGGTGACATTCGACATGTTGAATTAACTTAAGCAATTCACTACAAAGCAATTGTTTTTGTTTTGTTTTTTAATTTATTTTTTTTCCAGTCTTCAGCAAATTTTAAAAATTAGAAAAACGAGGGCCAAATAAAAGTGCATTTTACACGTATCATTTCACTTGTATTCACAAACATTTACAGATGTCTCCCTTGCATAATTTGGGAGGTGTGAAGACAACTTATCTACATCTTGAAAGGAGGGTGTCTTTACCAATACAGAATAACTGGATAAAATATTTATCAATCATTATTTTGATTATTATGGAAATATTTGACATGGTATCACATGAAAACTGACTCTGCACCACATAATCTCAAGTTTTGCAAGAATTTAAAAAAATCCCTCTTGGTGACTTTAAAACCGAAACCTATGCACATTTGACTTATTTTTAAACTCCCAAAATATAAATATATTCTTCCACGTGGACTGATTAGCAGACAGTGCTATAAATGAACAGTGACACTGACAAACAATCTTCAGAGCAACAGGTTCCTTATATACATTAGGAATAGGGAGTGTATGTTTTGTTTTCTGTAAACAGAATGTTTCAGTATTGTGTATGCTGAGAATTTAGATTTTGCTTTTTCCAGAGAATGTTTTTCCAATGTCATTGTAATCAACTGTTTTGTGTAGTTGGTTTATGTTACAAAGGTAACGTAACTGTTTTATATATTGCAGGCATATATGTTGTGAAAAAAAAATGTATTTACAATTTCACAGTACAAAGAATTGCACTTTCTTTCTGTATAAATAAACTGGCCATAGATTAGCAAAGTCTGTAAGTGTTAAAGACTTAATGATAATTTAGTAATTGAGTGGTAGTGGATGCAGGTGTGTTTGTTTGTTTGTTTGTTTATTTGTTCTATAGTCTGTTATGGAAGTTGTATATGTATATTATTTGTAAGTTCTGCATTCTCTGTACAGAAATAACACATGATTTACCAATAAATAAAAAAAGATTATGCTGTTAGAATGATGGTTACAATTGTGTCCAGTATTATATTCTGTGTTTGTTTTGTTTTGTGTTATGAGTTTGTTACTGTTTTTGTTTTCCATGTACTGTAATAAAACATGATGACAAATGGCACTCGTGTAACAAAAAGGGAATATAATACAGATTTTCAAGTGTATAAGGATATGGAAATGACAGCCACAGAAGTCAAGTTGGGATAAGAGCTTGAACGTTGACATAGATGAATGTTTAACTCCTTAAAATAAAAGCTGTGAGTAAACTTTGGAGAAAGAGTTGCCTTGTAAAGTCCATCAGGCCATATTAATGCACAGCCACTGAAAGCAGGGCAGTTGGTGCGTTTGTCAGAGTCTCACTGGGAGTAGCAGGACTGCTTTGGCTTGTTGCTGTCTGAGGAGATGTTGGACTCATGGATGGAGAAGAGTTTGATAGGATGGCTGGGATATGTGTAGGGAGCGCTGGCAGACCTGGCACAGTAGTTGGAGTTGCTTTAATGGGAACTGGGATGGCTGGTAAAGTTTGTCCCCCATGGCACAGAGGTTTAATGGGCATTCCATAAGCACTCACACTGTAATCGCTGTTGGCCATTGATATTGGTGTAGTTGTGTCTATCATGCTGGAACCGTACATGTGAGGCCACCCTGTGCCTATGTGGCTGCCAACTGTAGTCAATTGGTTATGGAGTGGGTAGGCAGCTGACATTGGCTGCATTGTGGAAAAGGCAAGCCCCCCTGGCATTTTATATTCTCTTGCAATGATGTTCTCAATGGCAAAGGGGTGCTTAAAAGTGGATGTCTGAGAGACCCCCAGGTTATACGTGGACATCTGTGGCAGGTGAGTGCCTGAAGCAGCAAGGGCACTTAATCTGAGCTTGGCTTGCTGCTGGAGATACTGGGCGGCATCTGATGGCTTGGTGGGGGCAAGGTGGTCCGATTTCATCACTTTGAACCTCTTCCTTCTCCTCAAGAAACTTCCGTTCTCAAACATATCGCCACAGCTGGGGTGAAGTGCCCAGAAACTGCCCTTGCCAGGCTGGTCTGGTCTCCTGGGTATCTTGATGAAGCAGTCATTAAACGATAAGTTATGTCTCAGAGAGTTCTGCCACCTCTGTGTGTTTTCTCTGTAGTAGGGGAACCTGTCCATGATGAATTTGTAGATCTCACTGAGAGGGAGCATCTTCTCCTGGGAGCTCTGGATAGCCATGGCTGTGAGAGAGATATAGGAGTAGGGGGGCTTTTGGTCACTGTACGTATTCCTCCCAGGGCGAGGCATCTTCTCACAGCAGTCAGAAGGGAGATCTGCGTGAGATGGAGGGGAACACATCAGTTCTGCTAATCTAACTCATTAACGGACTTTACAATAAAACAATGCATTGACAATTAACTGCTCAAAGGTATCTGCATCAGTTGGAAAAACAAGATTCAAATCTCACTTTCATAATAGGCTTCATGTCCTACATCTACATATTCACTATTACAACAACAACAACAACAGAAAACCAGCTCTTGATGTTCTAAACTAATCCATGCTTGTTAATTCTTCAGATTGAACATACAGGGTAATTCAATAAAGTAAGAATTCAAGATGAATTTCGAATTTAAGGCGAAAACAAAAAATGATCCATCTATGCATTCACTTACTCTGGCCTTCAATTTGAAAATCACTTTGAATTCTCAGCTAAGTACATAATCCTGACAGTTTAAAATATAGAACCCTGGTGCTGTATACAGAGTATCACATACACATACCTTGGAAGTTCTCACAAGTTGACACTCTGCATTCGGAGATCAGCCTGGATACAGATCTTTCTTGTCCACAAACACAACCCTCTGTATTTATTTTTTTAATTCAGATACTTCAGCTCTTAATTCAGATCCAGATCTAGCCTGGTCACTTGTTCTGGGTCCGACTCTGATCTTCACTCCAGCATCAGGGTTAAGCTCCTGTGTTATTTCTCTGGCCAGCAATGGAATGAGGGAAGCTGGTAAAAGATGTGCCTGCTCTGCTGGGTTGGAGATAAGCTAAGTAGTTGTCTCCATGTCCTTCCTCGAAGCATCTGATAGTTTTATGTGGTGACATGAACAGAAAAGTCCCCTGCAGAGACGCCTCATTAATGTGCCACTTCTATGCTATCATATGACAATCGCCCAGAGAGGAGATGGGAGGGAGCAGGGAAAAGGAGGAGGGGGAGGGGGAGAGAGAGGCATAATCTGGTTTCATTTACACCTATTTACATGGACACCTTGGGCCAATAGAAATCATTTCCATTTGAAGACAAGGCAAGGGGTGAAAAGGCTCACAAACCGGAATTGAAGTGTGATGGCACCCAGTAACTGTGTGTGAAGGTATGCACCAATCTTTCTGTGTGCTTTGCAGGGAGTTTAGTCTGTAATTCACACTTACAAATGGAGCTACTGAGCAGTGGGATTTTTGACATGACAATTGCTCGGCTGTGGCATTCTGTTTGTTCTATATTGTTATCTGATTTGTATTGTGAGCCAACTTAAAGCATTGCTTTTACTTTTTTTTTTTAACAAGAGATAGGGTGGTGGGGAGAGAGAGAGAGCATGTTCTCATTTCTCAGCCCATCTAAACTAATTGTACAAGAATCTTTAACTTAGCTCCTCTCTGTATGTGTGTGTGTGTGTGTGTGTGTATGTATGTGTGTGTGTATGTATGCATGTGTGTGTATGTATGTGTGTATGATAGCTCTGTGCTTGTATCTTGTAAATAATTACATAATACCTCATTAAAATTAACTACTTTTTTGTGTCATGATTTTTTTTTTCATTGTGAAGTTAGAAATTACTGGTATTATTTCTAGTGAAACATTGTATTTAGATTATATTTTATACGAATCAGTTCTTTTAGGTGTGAAAACTTTATAACTTTTTTTACTGAAAATATTCTTTTATTAGTACAGATATTTCAATAATGTGTAGATAAACTTCAAGGTAAACATGGGATTTTTTAATAATATGTTAGTAATGTGTTTATGTGCATTTTGATGCTTTGTGTTTGTTTTTTTTTGTTTTTGTTGTTGTATATAAATTACACATCCATGCGTTATGAATGTATCTATTTTACTTCTGTAGCGCTAACAGGTGTGTTAACAGTTTGCTGGTTCCATTAATCAGGAGGAGGGGCAGTACGAGCGGTGCTAGTTAGACAGACACTAGAATAAGGGGGGCAATGCTAATATAAAGTTTAGGAGAGGAAGTCTCTGCACTGTACAATATATAATCTAAGTGAGGAATAGGAGGTATGCACGAGAGAGAGACTGACATGGCAGACACATAGACAGTATTGTAATATATATATATATATATATATATATATATATATATATATATATATATATATATATATATAGTATTATTATTATTATTATTATTATTATTATTATTATTATTATTATTGGTAATTAGTAATTATAATCATTTATTACTGTTTTGGTTGGGAAGGCAGCGTTCATTATCTCCAATAACCCTTTAGCAGTTGTTAATTGTAATGAATACCTGGAGCTCGGTTAGTTAATGGCTGGTGTTTAACATTTCACAATGTGTTGATCTGTGAACAGATAGCCATGCAATTCCTTTCACTTTCAACAAGTGTCAAGTTTTTAAGTTTTTCAGAGACTATGATATAAAGAGTCCCTGTATATCCATACACAGTCTATATATACACATACACACACACACACACACACACCAATATACATTCAATATAAAACTGAATTTTTTTGGGACACTGAGGACATAAGAATTCTGTAATTATTCAAAGCAAAGAATAGCAATTTTAATTCTCCTAGCTTGGTATGGAAGTGCCTGGCTTAAGATTTATTCGAAGAAGCAGTAGTGATTTGTAATTCAATTTTAATCCAATGAAAATATAATGCAATAAATCATAGTTCTGAGGTGCAAGGTGTTTGTATGACGGACACACACACACACACAGACAGACACACACACTGACACGTTACCGACACATACAGTGCTTTAATAGAATGAATGCTGGGGTTGTGTGGGGTCTGCATTGGAGTAAAATGAAATCCCATTTTAACTCCCCTGGGGTGTCTCTGATAATCCCCAATCATTCCAGCTCATAGCAGCAACATATGTACAGTACTTAGACAGCTGCTGTGTGAGCCAGATGTGCAGGCTTGAAAAGACTCAAACAGCCGACTGGTTATAAAGGACACAATCAGTGCTAGAGCAAATCCTATCTATTCACGTGTTTTATCATACAGCGTCTACCAGCAAAAGGCAACCTGACCATTAATCATTGCTGGGCATGCTGTGATTAATGTAAGAAAAACACACACACACACACACACACACACACTCATATACAAACACCACAAAATATTGTATTTATTTCACCGTATTACAAATTTATATCAGTTATTTAAAGGAGGCAAAAATGAATTAGTAATTAATAATTGATGCACAATGATACAAATCTGCTGTATAGACAGTCACTATAAACAAAAAAAAAACAAAAAAATTCATGTACAATTCTATCTATCTATCTATCTATCTATCTATCTATCTATCTATCTATCTATCGTCTATGTCTATCTATCTATCTATCTATCTATCTATGTCTATCTATCTATCTATCTGTCTGTCTGTCTGTCTGTCTGTCTGTCTGTCTATCTGTCTGTCTATCTATCTATGAAATTATACTATGGAGTTAATTGTCCTAATATATCTAATCCCCAATAAGAATTTCATAGAGGTCAGACTGCAGGTACTGGCTTTCTAAATATATTTCATGTTGACTGAATATTACAATTGACTTCCATTTGAACAGTCTGCCAGAACCCCACATCCTGTGGACAGGTGTATCATAAAAAAAGCATCACTAAATATTAGTATTAGCTAGTGAGGTCATTTAAATTACCGGTATAGTGATCTGCACCTTGCACTGAATCTAGAGATCATTTTTCATCTATATGATTTATTGTATATTCATTTTACCATCATTTTTTTGGTACTGTTCTTTGTTTTAGGAAAGACCATCAGAGTGTAACAAAAAAAAAAAAGTCCCTTTCTGTGGAAATTAAAAAATACATAGTGAATCAGGTTATCCTAAAAAAAAATACATTAAAAAAATTAAATAAGAATATCCTGCTAGACATATTTAACCTCAGCGTTTCATATAACTGCATGAAAAAAAAGTGTTGTTTGTTAGAACCAGAAATAAATACAAAAATCCATTTAAAATAACTTATTTTTAATTGACAAAAATGTGTAATATTAAAATGAAGTAAAAAAAAAAACAAAAAAAACAAATGTCACTGATATAAAAAAATATTCCTGTAATTAATATTTTTCCAACTGTGCTGAAAAAAGTGAATTCTATCTTATAGATATTTTTTTTACATGAACCTGGATATTATTTCACAGACATAAAATACACTTTTGCAACCGTTCTAATACTAAGAAACACATGAAACCGGAGGGAGACAGTTAATTCTTTAAATTCAGTATTTTTAAGCCCTGATGGGGTTCCACACAATTAAATGAAATCCAGCAAAAGATGTGTTGGGACAATCATATCATTAATGACAGTTATTTTTGCTGGTCAATAAATCACCAAATCGTTACTTAAACACGATGAATTTAGGAGATTAAACAATTTCATTAATATTGAAATAGCTACCAGGATCCAGATTAGTTGCTTGAAATGCAGAATCACGTTTTTCAATATTAACAGAAGCACTTGAGCACTAACACAATATGACCTTCTAAATTCAGGTATAAAAATATAAAATAAAATAAAAAAATATAAACGAAAAATGCAAATGCAGATAAATTCGATCTGTTTATCACTCGTTCTATGCCTGAGAATTTTATCTGCAACCCTCAAACGTGCCCATATGACTCTGAATTGTTCTACTTTGTCAGATGAAGGGTTAATCTGACTTGCACCTTAACAAATGTCTGTCATAAATATAACTCCGAATATAGCAATAGGGATTTGATTAAGGATTAGAGTGAATTAACTATGCATTAAACAGCAGAATTAAAAGCAAGCCATCATCAATTGCAGGAGTGATAGTTTAATTGAATGCTTTAATTTAATTATAATATTAAAAATACAAAAGAAAAAATATTAGTAGCATTATTATTTTAAGTAGATAAATTGCTTGCCCCCTTTTCTCTTGTGTGAGGTATCGTTCACAAGGTTTGGCTGAAATCAAAAGTTAAAGTATAAAAAAAAGTAGGATTTTTTACATTTTTAGATATTAATTAATTACAAAAATCGGACATGGCTGGCTTTATATTTTGTTTAAAAATATTTTTTTACATGATATGGTGATATTGCAAGATTAAGTTATAACACAATAAAAAAACAATCTACTGTACTTTCTAAAACACTACACACACACACATTATTGGAGTAATAGGTTTCTGATTTTTTTTGCATAATTGTATAGACTCTGTTATGTTAGATACATTTAACTCTGGTAATTGCATACAAATTGTCCAATTCTCTGAAATAAAATAGCAATTTAAAAAAAGCGACCTCAGTTATTTGGACACAGCTTTGTGTGTCTGCGTCTTTCTGTTTGTGGGTATGTCAGTGTGTCTGTGTGTTCGTTAGAATGTTAGAAAAAAAATATATATATCATATTTTAATATAAATTATATTTATTTATTTTATATATATATATATTTTTTTTTTTTAATTTTCCATAACCTTACCGATTCAGACATATATATCCACTCATACATACAACCGTTGAGTAATAAGCTAAACCCTTGATTCTCTGTGCTTGCTTGAGGCACCCACAAAAGCAATGTAAATGTGCATCATTTATTTATTTAGTGTGTTTGTTTGGGTTTGCTGTTAATCATTGAAATGAAGTGCATGTCAAATGAGTGTATAAGGGGTTTTAAGAGTGAATGCACCCATTTGTAAAGAAATGCAAAAGAATTTAAAGAAAAAGAAAGAAAAAAGGAAAAAAAAGGCCCCCTTTTTTGGGAGACTCATTTAAATAAGAGGCTTCAACAGTTGTTGGGAAAATGGGCATAAATACACATAAGTCAATTATACCAATGTGCAAAAAAGCAAACGGGGATCTCTTTGCACCAAGGCTGTATTCAGCTCTTTGCTCACCATCAGTAAAGCTCTGCTTTCTGCATGAAAGGATAGCAATAGACCCCTTAAAAAAAAAAAAAAAAAGCAGGACCCCACACGTTTACAGATTTGGTAATAATTTATGCTAATTTCCCTCACATAAATCCACAATTCGTTTCAGTAGCATACAGACTGCTCAGATAGGCAAGAAGAAGTAAAACACAATGGTCCTAACACAATATTGGTTTTCATTCCTTATGGTGTGAGTGCAGGTGTGATGTAGTAGAAAGGTTTCAGGATTTAATCTATAGTGCCAAGTAAAAAAAGAAATAAAATAAAATAATCCTCTTTTATCACATATGTTAATATTTACTATATAGGAATGCAGATGAGTTAAGCAGATTTACTTTTAGTGTCTTTTAGGCATCTAACAATGAATAGTTCAAAACCAGATTTCGCAACTTTCAAATAGTTCTTTTCTCATTTGGAGTAAAGTCTTAGATTATATTTGATGAACTTACTGGCTGCCCCTCTGTTTACTTATTGGCAGTGAAAAGGGAGCTGATAGAATTAAGTTCGAGACTGAGTTTTCTTTGTTTTGCTGATAGTTTTTTGAGTTTACCAAAGTGATATTTTTTTCTCCTTATGGGAATTTAAGGCAGTAAAGGGAGTCCTTTTGTTTCCAACAATTTTACCAAATTATTTTCTCTCACATCAACTGACTAGGATTGCATTCTGTCTCAGCAAACCCAAGGACCAATTACATTGCACTCTTATAGTTTATTACACATATTTGGTGTAGTTCAGACATTCTTATTCTGTTTATGTTAATATTAGATGGAATGTATTGGTATTTATTTTTGAATTATTTTATATCGAAATTCTGAGAATACATTAGGACGAAATAGCAATTTCAGTAATAAAAAAGAGCAATTCTGAAATATATTTTAAAGAAGAATTGATGTTTAATAAATGCGTTTGTTAACAGTAACACCATATTTAACAACACAGAAAGCTATTATAACATTATGAAAGAGAAGTAAGTTTCTGCCGAAATATGTGTTCAATTGAAAAAAATAGTTAAATTATCTAAGATGGACAATTTTATTTTTTAATGAATGATGTTTTGGCCTTTTTTTTTTCTTTTAAAGATATTTGGACTTTATAACAACTCAATGTTTAGTTGATATAAACAATATATCTAATTTCCAAATGGGGTATTTTGGGATACATTCAATCAATTGTGTAACATTAACATCAATGCAAACAAACACTAGTTGTACTTCCTTATATTAATATCACAATTGCTTTTCCTTTTTTTTTACTTGGAAGAGTGGCAAGTCAATTTTTTCAGCCTTCAGTATCACAAGAATTGAAATGTAAGAACTCCCAATAAACTTCCAGTGTTTTGTATTTATTCACATTGATCTTTTTTTTTAGGCATTACGCTGCCCGTGAAACATGCATTATTAGACTTAAAAATTGTCATATGCATAAAAATATTTTTATTCATTATAATCATGTTTTTTTCCTTTATTATTTTCATATCAGATTGCATTCTGTGTGTTTGTGTTGTTGTACGGATCAAATAACGGCCTTCTTCCTTAAATGCAAAATAGCGTTGATTTAAAATTAATAGTGCAACTATATTTAGCTAAATTATTTACACTGTCACTAAAGCTGAGCTGGGGATGTTCTATAAAAAAAAATCTATTTTTGGTTAAATATTGCAATTTAGTTTTCAGTACACTGCAATTTGGTGTTTACTGAATGAACTGCAAGGATTGCAGAATATTATATTTTCTGGATGTAGGTAAATTGTCTTCGGTACATAAATAAAAGATAACATCATCTACTTAAAAGAGGAAACGCCACATCTCTGGAAGTCACACCATTGAATTAAACATTAAAAATCACCTGTAACTTATGTTAAACTTTTTTTAATGTTAGGCTCCATTTTCTTTAAAATCTATATCAAAGATTTAGCAAATGCCATCACAATTCAGTTCAGACAAGGCGAAGATAGAAAAAATAGAAACCTTGTTTAATGTATCGTCCTCTCTTTATGCTTTATCTATGGTATCTTGTATGAAAGACAAAAAACGAAGGAGACCAATCGTGTAGAATTTATGGACCAATATATGTGAAGAGAAAGAAATATATATATTCAACTCACATTTAAAAGAGCTATAGCCAGCTCAGGTGTGAAGGGCATACAGCGGTATAATCCCAGTTTATAAGATATGTGGTGGTAGTCTTCTGGAAAGGGCGATGTCCAACACTCAGGAGAAGGGTATATAAAAAACAACTGATAGTGCTCTCAGTGTATATAGGGTATAAAATGAACGTAAATAAAAATGTACTTACAAGTATAGTGCAGGCCAACTGCACTATGATATCAGCGTTGGTGGTATGATCCACACCTCGGATAAACTTGTAGTCACACGATAAAAATATAAAATACATAAAATTGTGTATAAAAAATACAATTGGCACAGAGTAGTAACCAAAAACCTTTTAATTAGATAAAATACACAAACAATATTACCATTACGCGTTTCGCCACTAGGACTTTTTCAAATGGGATAAAATTAACAACCTGGCTAGTAGGGGTTTATATAGGTACATCGTAATTTAAAAATTGGCGCCAAAATGACGTCACTATTCGGCAGCCAATAGAATAAAAACTTATATAACAAATTAGTAAATATAAATAAAAAAACTTATATTCAAGATTATTCTGAACTGTGTCTGTTTTAGTTAAAATCGCTTAAAAAAAAAAAAGAGGTTAGAATACTTTAGATTACCTAAGGAAAGCGATATTGAGATCATTGGTGACAGTACACATAGTATGCTGGGAGATGTAGTGTAAACCTAGCGAGCGAGCGATGCGTCTCATGATAGTGGATATGAGGTGCACCATGGGGACTGTAGTATAGTGTATAACTTGGTGGCTAAGCCAAAAATGGGGTGGAGTAGTGCGAGAATGGAAGAACAGAGGAAATAGTATCGGGCAGAATTACACAGGAATGGTAGAAAGTTGATGCGAACTGCATCATGGGGATTGTAGTTTCATTAGATGGCAAAAAGAAATGAAACATAATAGAAAATAAACTATAAGTAGGGCTAAATAGTAAATAGGTGACTAAATATAGGGGAGAATTGTGCATCTTGGGAACAGTAGAAGTACAAATTACACATACATTTTAAATATTTTAAATATATTATATTATTATCATATTTGGCGCAGCACTTCATTACTGTTTTTTGTGTTTTAAACTTTGTATAACTGTAGGCTACCTTTATAGTTATTATTAGACTTGTGCATGGTGGAATCACTGTGCCTGAAAAGAAAATTTAGTTTGGGAGTCTACTAATTGTCCATGTGTCGGTTCAGCGCTTCAAATACTGTCCGCACAAAATATTTGGGAAAAACAGTTAAGATGAACTAAAAGGGTGCAAAAATGGTCCTATCGGTGTACTTAAAATATATACATAATATAAATATTATGCATGTTCCTGACATTTGGATCATAGATCGAGTGAGATAAAGTAACCAATAAAGGGGGAAAAGGAGGAGCAGTAAAAATAAATAAATCTATTTTTACATAATATATATATATATTTCATTATTTATTTATAAAATATTTTACCAGGAATGATACATTGAGATTTCTTTCGTTTTCAAGTATGTCCTGGGTCCACAAAACATTGCATTGTTACAATAGGGTTCAATATTACAAAAAAATACAATATATATATAAATATATATATATATATATATATACATGCATAGAGCACCCCTATACTGCAGGTCTGCCCACCTGGGTGGTGAAGTTCATTATTCTTCACCCTGGACTATAAAAAAAACAAACAAAAAACCTAAGAAGGCAGTGGGGGTGTAGCTTAATGAGGTATGAAGGCGGAGCTAAAAGGGTGGTGGGGCGGAGCTTAAAGCACCCGATATCCTTAACCTCTGCACAAGAAGTGGGAAGCAGAATGGAGACCCTGCTTTCCCAACTACCAGGTACCAGGAACTGCAGTGCCTCCACTCCTCACTCCAGTCCATAATGGCAAGAGATAAGTGTGTACATGTGTGTGACTGCCTGTAACTATGTGTGTGTGACTGTAGCATTGTAGGACTGTCTGTAACTGTGTGAGTGTGACTGTCTGCCTGTAACTGTGTGACTGCCTGTAACTGTGTGTGTGTCTGTGTGTGTGACAGTCTGCAACTGTGTATGTGTGTGTGTGTAACTGCCTGTAAGTGTGTGTGACTGGACATAATATTGTGGGTAACTGCCTGTAACAGTGTGCCACTGTCTGCCTGTAACTGTGTGTCTGTCTGTAACTGTGTGTGTGACTATCTAACTGTGTGTATGTGTGTGTGTATTTATGTGCCTGTAACTGTGTGTCTGTGTGCCCGTAACTTTGTGTTTGACTATCTAACTGTGTGTATGTGTGTGTGACTGTCTACTTGCAACGGTGTGTGTGACTATCTAACTGTGTGTATGTGTGTGTGACTGTCTAACTGTGTGTATGTGTGTGTGACTGTCTGCCTGTAATGGTCTGTGTGTGACTGTCTAACTGTGTGTATGTGTGTGTGACTGTCTGTCTCCAACTGTGCATTTGTTCCTGCCTGCAACTGTGCATGTGTATATGTCTGCCTGTAACAGTGTGCGTGTGTGTGACTGTCTGCCTGTAATGGTCTGTGTGTGACTAACTGTGTGTATGTGTGTGTGACTGTCTGCAACTGTGTAAGTGTATTTGTCTACCTGTAGCTGTGTGTGTGTGTATCTTTGTGTCTGTAACTGTGTTTGTGTGTCTGTCTGTAACTGTGTGTGTGACTGTCTAACTGTGTGTATGTGTGTGTGACTGTCTGCCTGTAACAGTGTGTGTGGCTGTCTGTAACTGTGTGTAAGTGACTGTCTGTCTCTAACTGTGTGTGTGTGTGTGTGTGTGACTGCCTGCAACTGTGTATGTGTAGATGTCTGCATATGACTGTGTTTGTGTGACTGTCTGCCTGTAACTGTGTGTGTGTGACAGATTCACAGCACACTGGACGACCAGAGATCAGCATGCCTCACTATCTGCAGGGTTCCAACAGGAAAGGGGGAATTAATATTTGTTTTAAAATAATAATTAATTTAATATATCCCAAATAGAAACACTTCACCCCTACACACACGCTACACATAATGAAGAGGTATGATTGGAGGGGGGGGGAGGAGGAGAGGCACTGTGAAGTTTTTTCGCACAGGGCGCCTAATAGCCTAAGACTGGACCTGATTCCATAATTGCGGTGCACTGTAGTAAAAATGAAGGTCGAGCCACTTTATTTTTGTATTTTGCGGTATGCTAAATAAAGTGCTGGTACTGGATCAGAGGTTATAGGAGGTGGGAACAGCTGGAGAGAGCATTCTACTAAGGTAGGGTGGGATCTTTGGAGAAAGGCTCTTATGCACAAGGCTGGAAAGATGAAGAGTGCATCGGGATTCCAGCGATCGCCAGTTCAGCTCTGTTAACATGTCACAATGGTGGGTAAAGTAATTACATTCTAGTACAAAGCTGCAGAACTAATTATATAATGTATTAAATTTATGAAGGTGGGTTTGCAATGCAGGTGCATATACCACATCCCCATAATCAATGACCGGCATTAGCATTTGTTGCTCTATCTGTTTCCTTAGTGTCGGGCTTAGGCAGGATTTGTTTCTGTACAGGGCAACAAGTTTTAGATAGAGTTTAGAAGAGATTTTTTTCAATGTGAAGGACAAATGATAGATTGGGGTCTAGCAGCATACCTAGATAATTGAAAGAACCAACTGCTGTCAGTGTGCTATTTGAATTTGTTTTGATACTCAGTTGTTGATCTTGTAGTTTACGTAATTTAGGTACAGTTCCAAAGATCATTGTAACAGTTTTGTCAGTGTTTAGGAAGAGTTTGTTATCCGCTATCCACTTTTCTACCTCTGTGAACTGGTTTTGAAGCATATATATGTTTATTATTTTTTTACTGCACCTCTTTTTTTCCGTTTATTGGTCACTTCTCACTTGAGCTGTGACTAAAATCTAAACTTAGTGGCCGTTTCCTAATGATTAATCATATTTTTTTTCCCATCAATCATTTTTTCTTTCACCCCACGAATGGAACGCTGAAGTATGAATCGTATGAAAATGCTCGTCAATTGCTAGAGCCATTTGTTCAGTTACGCATCCATATTGCGCTTTAGAGTTATGGAATTTGGACAACCCACCAATCGTCCTAAATTCAAATGAATTGCAATTCATCCAAAAACAATTACACAAGTCAAATTATTATTGAATGTATTAATATTCTATTATTTTTTTAATGGAGGGTGTTGGATAATGAGGGTGTTACTACCCATGGATGTTGTGCTATACAGGTTGCACTTCTAAATGTCTTGGCATGGATTAAAAACCTTTAAGGGTCAATAATAAGTTTTTTCCCCTTTTTTTTACAAACACTGAGTTATGGTGAGTTGACACTTGACCTAAACAAAATGTAAATAAAGAAGAAATTCTAGAAACAGGGTTACTAACTAAAATGAGAATTCAAAATTAATTAAAAGTGAATTTTAAATTTAAGGTCAAAATACGTGAACTGGAAAAAGTCACCTCTGCTTTCGCATCAACTACTCTGGCCTTAAATTTGAAGTTCAACTTAAAATTTCACGTTGGTGAATAACCCGGACTATCCTCGGATCTTCAGAAATTGGAAAATTGTTTGAATTGTACTATTTTGACCAGATTTAAACAAGTCGACAGGTCCCCTTATTTAATTTTCTAGTGAACAGAGCTCTCAGTGTTTTTGAAAATATTTTGATATTTTTCAGGTAAACTATCAAAATGTAGGTGCCTCTGGATAAAATCACTCATTATTTTGATCATGTGGATTCATTTGATTTAATTGCTAAATCAACTGTATCCATCTTCAGAACTTTCATCTTAATTGGAAACTGATCGTAGTAATACTTTGTTTATATTGATACATGCAATATTCTATATATATATTTGCTCTGATAGAATAAGTTTAAATAACACAGTTTTCTGGATATTACATCTTTCGAGTAAACCCTACATTAATAATACATATTATGAGGTAGCGGCTTAATGGGAAATATTTACTAAACATTTTTAATTACTCAATTTACATATTAATCATTATTTGCACTTGTGCATACTCTTATTTACTAAAGTGATCACTTATGTATAATACATTTTTGCTATTTGCATACAATTATGCACATAAAATGTTCTACAGTCAATTATTGAGCAGGCTGTTCATACACAACAGAGAAATAATTCATCTCTATTTATTCCCTTTATGTACAGTCAGTGGGTTAAATCAGGAAAGATGCAAGTTATTTTCAGATTTTATAGAAAAAAAACAAAATTGACAACTATATGTGTTATTTTTTATGTGTGTTAAAATAAATGTTGCTTATCTATCTATCTATCTATCTATCATTCTATCTATCTATCTATCTCTTTCTCTCTCCCTCTCTCTTTCTCTCTCTTTATCTATCATCTATCTATCTGTTACGGCTCTCCCAGCATAAAGGGGTTAAACCGCCGTTTAGTAGAGTTCCCCTTTTTGTGGAGGTATAGGTACAGCTACTGTAGAACCCCAACTCCCGAACTGGAACCAGGGAATGCTCCAAACTCCTGAACGGTAATCTCACAAATAGCTGCTAACGGACGAACACACACAGCATTCAAGCGGCTTACATTCCCAGCAATCAGTCTCTAATCGCGTTCAGTAAATCCCCTCAATCACGAGACCAAGCTCCGTATTGAGGGTAAAACAGGATTCTGGTTTATTGAGGGCTACCTGCCCGGCATTTATGCAGGTCTCCCACCTGGCGGACACTCCCCTTGGGGACCAGATGGAAGACTGTAACACAGACAGACATGTATCACATTCGGACACACAGAAGTAAAACATCCCCACAATGCATCCTAATTTCCCTCCCTCTATCCTGGAGATAATTGGGAAGTAATCCAATTATCTCCCACAACATAGGCAAATCGCCATTATACACGTGGGGACACAGAGACAGTAAAATACATTAAAACATATAATATTACATTTACTACACCAACCCCATACATGTCACATATCCCCAGATAGCTTAGATCTGAGCGCACATAACCACCGAATAGCGCTCAGATCACACACATACAGTTCAATTGCCATGGAGCCAAAGTCTTTAATTACATGAATAGGCTCCATGGCATAGCTATCTGGGTTAAAACATTCACTTAAGTAAAGTCCCGATCAATCCAGAGTTCATTTAAACAACCAAAATAGAAGCAGGCGAAGGCTGGAGGCTCAGCGGTGCCTGCACGTAAAAGTATCCGCTTTTAGTGCACTGATTCTGGACTGGTCACTGCTGGCTGTCCGGGGAGCTCCATAACACCGCCACCGGGTGGTGGCTATGTGTAATCGCGACCACCCAGTACAGTCAATTAAGCTGCGGTTAACCGCAGCTACTGGGTGATCAATTGACGGCACACGCTAGCTTCCCGGTGGCCTCGCCTTTGTGCGGCTTTCGGTAGTGTAACAGGGGAATACATAGGGATTGTACAGGCAGGGAAATAAACCGAACTATAGACAAATGGAGGGAAAATAAATGTAATCCATATACAGACAGTTCTGTTACACTATCTATATATAAAACATTAAGAAAGAGAACACACAGGACTTCTTCATAAATATGCTACTGCTTTTACTGAAACAGACTCTGTGCAAACATAAATCAAAATTGACAATTCAGTCCTACACTAGACTTTTATCAAGATATCAAATACTTGTGCATGATGTCCATATATGTGTGTGTGTGTGTATATATATTTATATAAACCAGAATGTAGGTATGAAGGCACTCACTTTTATCCAATCGTATTGAAGAAGTAAATCGTTTGGTTATAAAGGAACATAAATACAATTTAAATGCAAAGAAGGAATGGGCACTCGTAGGACTTTCACTTTATAAAAAAGTAAAAAAGATTTTAATTGTGCAGCGTCAACGTTTTGGAGACACTTGTGGTCCTTTCTCACAACCTTGAGAAAAGGAATACCAGTGGGTCTGAAATGTTGGTTAGCTACCAAAAACTGCAGTACATTGTAGGACTAAGGGGGACAAGGACACTGCATCCAGACCACTTCAATGAGTTGAATATTAGAATTTGGAATCAAAATATTTACAGTGAATTGTTGTTTTAGTGATTTTTCTCCAAGATAACAAATAAATACTAGTCAGCACACCAAAATAAGAAAGATAAAATGTAATCACAAATTCAACAGGAGCAGCAATCTTACAGGGTCTTTAAACCTAAGAATAGCCTGAAGGAATAAACCCAAAGTAAGTGGCGAATCACCTATACACAGTGATAATACTAAAGACACAGTGTAGCACTAAGAGTGTATCAATAGTGCATAGATAAAAATCAATATAATATAATATAATATATATCAAACAATATAATAAAGTATCAAACAAAAATAATAGAATAAGTAATTTATAATAATAAATAAGAAAGATAAAATGTAATCACAAATTCAACAGGAGCAGCAATCTTACAGGGTCTTTAAACCTAAGAATAGCCTGAAGGAATAAACCCAAAGTAAGTGGCGAATCACCTATACACAGTGATAATACTAAAGACACAGTGTAACACTAAGAGTGTATCAATAGTGCATAGATAAAAATCAATATAATAAAGTATCAAACAAAAATAATAGAATACTAACACAATCAAAAAACTTATAATCAATAAGAAAAACTGCCTCGGAACAGCAAGCCACGGGTATTGTGTACTCACAACACCCTCCATAGGGGGTGCCTCACACAGATGAAGCTCCAGAGTCATGGTAAGTCCCATTCATGCCATCCACCAGTCCTGAATAATTTGTGCCAAAGGTAGGGTGAGGATATGGGGACAGAAAGGATCTGCTGAAACCACGCAAACTATAAAAGGAAGGCGACTGGCTCCGGCAGTCTACTCGGCCTTTATCTGACCTCACCGGGTTGGGGGAGCACACCAATCTGTGCACCCGTATACTCTCCATACTCTCCATACAACGGCCGGAAGCTTCAAAAAAGGCCACGGTGAAATTAAAAGGACAGCTCCGCTAGAAACCTCACGGACTTGAAGTCTATGAGTTTCGTCCCACTACAGGACTTTCTCAAGTTGTTTTAGTGATTTTTCTCCAAGATGTCTATTTTACATGATTTTAAACAAATTAAAATCTTTGTTAGTAGGTGGTCTGGGGATCATTCTTTCATTCATTCATTCTTAACCTTCTTTGCCTGAAGACAAGTCATTGATTTGCCTTTTATTACCTGCCTGGGTGCTTCTTGACAAGATGGTTCTCTGTGTCAGTTCAAGATGGGTTAAGTCAACATTTTGCATATCTGCGGAAGTCTTTTTTTCCATCTTCCTTTACATTTAACAAACATGGGCTGACACAAGACAACTGTATTCAACTGAGATAAGACAACTTGTTTAACGTGTTACCCTTTTAAATTTTATTGACTTTTGAGTATATACTCCCATTTCAGTTCTAGAACATTATTTTTCATAGACTTATGCATTCAGTGTCACACTGCGATTGAACTGAATTTTGGGCAGTTTATCCGAATTCTGTAACTCCAAAGTGACATATGGATGTATACCCAAACAAACAACTCACACAATGGATGAACATGTTCATTTCATTCCATTCATGATTCTGAGTTCTGTCTGTTTAGCCAAAAAGAGATGATTGATTCGAAAAAAAGATGATTTATTGTTAAAGGACATTCACTAAAGGTTGATTTTATTCACAGATTAAGTAGGAAGTAACTAATAGAGGTGGAAAAAGCAGTTAAAACAATCTATACTTTTATAGATATGTATATTATACATCTATATATAAAATCTATGTATAGATTTTCTGCTTCTACTCCTGTTTTGCTTGTATTGGATATTTCGTTTCACGTGATCTGTGAGCTAAATGACAGGGAAATGCACCTATTGGTAAACATCAAAATATATACATCATTTATATAATATATATATTTTGCATGGTTGAAATTAGTTTGAACTGAAAAGTCACATGAACGAATTTCAGACAACCCAAACGTTTTTCAGATGAGTCGATTTGGCTGAACCAATTTTTTTTTTTAAGTTGCACAAGTCTAATTTTTAATAATAGAGAAACAATTTTCTTTATCTAGAAATTTTTTAGGAAACATGTTTCTTGAGGATTAAAAAGTACTGGAGGCAAATTATGTACTTTAGACTTTGCATAAATAAGTAAAATATGAATTACACCACCACTTCAGATGTTTGTCTGCTGCTAGAGTCATAAGTTTTCTCCATCCTCAGACATCCGATCTTCAAGTGACTCTACAACAACAATTAAATCCACTGATCCTAAATACATGATATTTCTTTTTACACAAAAAATCGATAAAGCACAAATATTATCTATCAACAGAATATGTAGATTTTGGAAAGTTTGAATTCATAAGTATCAACTGCTGAATACACACACACACACTGGTTAACACACACACAGAATGCAGAATACATACAGGCTGTTGTATACACACAGGCTGCTGAATACATACACAGGCTGCTGAGTACACACACACAAACTGCTGAATACACACACAGAATGCAGAAAACACACAGACTGCTGAATACACACACAGACTGCTGAGTCCACACACACAGACTGCAGAATACATACACAGAGATAACTGAATACAGACATACTGCTGAGTACACACATAGACTGCTTATTACACAAATACAGACTACTGAATACATACACACACGCTGCTGAATACATACACACAGACTGCTGAATAGAAAACACATACTGCTGAATACACACATGCAGACTGCAGAACACATAAACACACAGTCTGACTGCTGAATACACACAGACAGACACAGGGGTGTTGTGTGTGTGTGAAGGGTGCTATGTGTATGTGACGGGGGGTGTGTGTGTCTATTGTATGAGAGGTGCTCTATGTGTGTGTATGAGGGGTGCAATGTGTGTATGTAAAGGGTGCTGTGTGTGTGTGAGGGGTGTTGTATGTGTAAGGGGTGCTGTGGGAGTGTGTGAGGGGTGCTGTGTGTGTGAGGAGTGGTGTGTGTGTGAGGGGTGGTGTGTGTGTGTGTGTGTGGCGGGATGCAGTGTGTGTGTGAGGGGTGGTGTGTGTGTGTGTGTGCACATGGTGCTGCATGTATGTGAGGGGTGCAGTATGTGAGGGGTGCAGTGTGTGAGGGGTGCAGTATGTGAGGGGTGCCATATGTGTGTGTCTGAAGGGTGTTGTGTGTGTGTGTGAGTGGTGCAGTGTGTATGTGAGGAGTACAGTGTGTGTGAGGGATGCTGTGTGTAAGGGGTGCAGTGTGTGTGAGGGGTGCTCTGTGTGTATGTGAGGGGTGCAGTGTGTGTATGTGTGAGGGGTGCTGTGTGTGTGTGAGGGGTGCTGTGTGTGTGAGGAGTGGTGTGTGTGTGAGGGGTGGTGTGTGTGTCTATTGTATGAAAGGTGCTCTATGTGTGTGTATGAGGGGTGCAATGTGTGTATGTAAAGAGTGCTGTGTGTGTGAGGGGTGTTGTGTGTGTAAAGGGTGATGTGGGAATGTGTGAGGGGTGCTGTGTGTGTGAGGGGTGCTATGTGTGTGTGTGAGGGGTGGTGTGTGTGTGGTGTGATGCAGTGTGTGTGTGAGAGGGGTGCTGTGTGTATGAGGTGTGCTGTGTGTGTGTTTGAGGGGTGCTGTGTGTGTGTTTGAGGGGTGCTGTGCATGTGTGAGAGGGCGCATTTGTTATTTTTAATTAAAATAAATTTTTTAAAAAACCCTCATACCCCCTTCCCCCACCCCCCGCACCCTTATCCTTACTTTTGGTGAAGGAGGGGGACTCCAGTGGTAAGTAGTGATGAGTTGACCCTTCATTAGTGAGAGGTAGGAACTGTGAGGCAATTTTTCTCTGCTCTAACCCAGCATTCTGCTCGCGGGAGGAGGTAAGACAGCCTGCAGCCAGAGGAGCTGCATCTTCACTCTTCACGCAAGCAGAATTCTGTATTGCAGCATTGCCGTGGCAACGCTCTGACACAGCATGCTCATGGGAAAAACTGCCTCCCAGGTCCTACCTCTCACTAACGAAGGGCCTTTGGGATACCAGCACAGTCAACGTGGATCAAGAAAAATTACTTCTCTAACTGCTAACTAACATTTCCATGACTCTTGAGATGTAGGTATATACTAGCTAAAATATAAATTCTTCTAAAACATGTTTTTTCCCAAGCAGTAGAAGATATACACACATCTGCTGCCTGTGGTTGATGCTTAGAGAGTTAGTCGAAATCAATGGCACCTCCACACTTTGGTAGTACTCGTTATATGTTGCTTTATGTTGTTATGAAACGTGTTAACAATCTGCACTCGGAATCAGGAAACAAAAAATTCAGATGAATCGCAAATCATTTGAAAGCAAGAACAAGTGTAGTACAAATCAGAGGCCAGCTAACTTGATACACTACAGATTTGTATATATTTTACAATAAGGGATGTATTCAGAATGGGTCTTGAGCACGATCAAATATAATCACTGCCTCATGTTAATTCTTGAAGCTAGGGAACTTGACACTCCTTTAATTTAATGGACTACCAGTGTGGGGAATTAAAAAACTTCCATACATAATTCGTAGATAAACCAGCTAACACTGAGAACCATATATAAAGTAGATAAAACATTGTTGAAGTAAAACATAAAGCCATCAAAAGTATTTTTTTCATAGAGAAATATGTATAGAACCCAATCAGCAGACAGTGAAGCCCAGCATCCAAGGCAGGGGCGGTCGATCACAGCAACCAGACAACTTTCGTAGATATGCCAGCTAACACTTACAACCATATATAAAGTAGATACAAGCCATGTTGGAGTAAAAAGTATATTTTATTGAGATAGTTTAAAAACAAAGAAGAAAAGCAACTGTTAAGTATTGTGCTGCTATGTCCCCTTATTGTCTATGTGCCTTTTTGTTTTTAAACCATCTCAATATAAGAAACGTTTTACTCCATCATGGATTGTATCTACTATCTACTATCTTCTATATAAAAAAAATTACTTTTGGTTGCTTCTGTGTTATATACCTATTGGAGCTATTTCTGATGCAAGTCTTGCTGGACTCCAGAATGTTTTCTGGATTCTTTTGTGAATTGAAAAACCTCCACTACATTTAAAAGCTGGGACCATAAAGGAAAATAAACACTACACAGAAAATATAGGAATTTATTCAGAATGTTCCTTCTCTTCTCACAGTCTTAATGAAAATGTAAAATACAATTTTTTTAAAGTATGATTTAATTTGCACTATTTTGCCCTACTCGTTTTGTTCTTCTGACCTTTGCTAGTCCCCTTGTTTCCTCTTTTTTTCTCCCTGTGTTTTTAATATGGTTAATGCTAAATATTTTGTGTATATGCCAATGGGACCTGCTGTTGTGGGTTCAGGATTAATATCAGAGTAATGCACTGGTAGAAATAGGCCAACCACTGTGTGAACCAGACCATTTATATAAATATATATTACACTTTGCCTTATTTATCAGGGGTAGAATAATCAGCTATAGTAAGACGTATTGAGGTGATGACACCAGAAATGATCTAATATTCATTAAAAGTTAAAAGTAAACTCTTCAAGTATGTGCCTTGTCAACATCTTGTCACCTCTAAAGTTTATCATATTGCAGCCCTTGCACGTGTACATACTGTAGAAGGTGGACTCTTCCATGACCAGGAAAAGGCTCCATCAATCCAATGCCTCACATTCTGCGCTATGAATTGTTATTCTTAACCCATGAGCCTCTGTCCATTGTTGTTCCAAACTGAAATCTGAGTTCCACTTTGGAGACAAGAAGGATTTTTTGGGGACAAAATTGGAAACCATTTTGAAATGATTTTCTCTCATTCTTTTGGATCAATGCAAGAAACATGAAGATATGTGAACATTTGAATGTAGTAGTTCAGGCTGTATTACCATGGAACTATTGTGAGCTATTGTCTTTGTTCAGTCTGTATTACCATGGAACTATTGTGAGCAATTGTTTTATTACATTTTATGTATTTGCTTTAACCTTTTATATAGCCATTTATTTAATTTTGTATCCATACACCATTGACGGCTATGGGAAACTGAAATAGTAAAATAGTGATACATTCTTTAGAAGTCAATATAGATAATGGCTTTGAAATGTTTTGCAGGTTATGTGACTGATGTACCTGAAATTTAAGCACTAAAAAAGAACTGAAGTTGCTGGTGTGTCTTTAATGTTGAAAAAAAATCACAAGAAGCCTTACTGAAAATATGTAATATATTTAAACTGAACAACACCATAGTCCAACCTGCACTAGAACTGGTACAGGACTTAGCTCTAATGAATGTGTTACACTTTGAATGGGGTGTTTATTTCTTTTTTTATTTTTCACTACCACTTCTGCACAGAATTAGCACTTATGGATGATTATTAGGTAGCTAGTTCAACTTTATGTTCTTTTTTGTATCCCTCATCCATTGGGCAGAGTCTTGGTGATATTTTGCTTCTCTTTTCACATTAGCCTAGTACTACAACTAGGGTTAAGTATATGATTTTGACCACCAGTTATAGTCCTTCTAGCTTACAACTTTATTTGATCATTTTTCATTTTTATGTCTCTTATACAAACATCTTCTGTCCTATTCTCATAATCAAATAGATCTACACCTTTTCCTAGATGGAAATAAACAAAATATAGGAGGTATCTTCTTAAAGACTTATTTAGGTACCAGGTTTTCCTGCTGTATTAATGTCATATTAGAGGAATGCAAGGTCAGATGACTCATTGCATATCCATGAATGAAGCTCTCTAGTGCAAACTGTAGTGGTTATGGTGCTTGGAGTGTTCCATTACTGGCAGTTAGTTGTACTGTTTTATGAAAGGAGCAATGGTGTACGAGATTAAGATTCATCACTACATGTTTATTTTTTGTTTTTTTAAAGTATTCATTTATTTAATAAATTAAGCTAACTGTGATCTATACAGCTTATGGTAAGATGATGACAGCTGTACTAAAATGCTGTATGTACGTAAGTCGCTGTATAGAGATTTAAGGGATGCACACAATACTTTCATACAGAGTTTTCAGAACATCAAGAATGTTTGTAGTACTTCAGCAATGTCCTAGTGTGTGGAGAGTTCACTGCAGTATTTGTTGTAGCCAACAAAGGAACTTCAAAGGTGAGTATATTTTCTTTGGGTTATTTCACTTGAATGCATTATCTATACAGACAACTCCAGCCTGGGCTGTCTTTTAAAGACTCCTAGAGGCCATAGGTGTTACCAAATTTTGTTTTGTGTTCAAGGATCCAGACATTTTTCAAAACCTAATATCACCCCTGGTGGTAATTAGTGGGTACTGTAAAACACATATGCTACTGTTAAAGGAATATATGCTACAGTGCAGCGCTTATCTAATTGGCTGATCTAATTATCTACAGAGCCACAGCTGATAGATCAACAACTTGCGCTCCTCAAGGAGAGCAGCACCCAGCGGACCCCAGGTAAGAAGTACATCCATTCCAGAATGGTTTGACTACTCATAATGGTGGAGGGGACACCAGGGCTCCATTTGCATCATGACCACTATAGCGAGCTGTTGTGGTTATGGTGCTTAGAATGTTCCTTGAGTGCAGTGTTTGCTTGCCATAAGACTTTATTTTGTTTTTAATAACATGTTGCAGAGTGGCTAAAATGATCCTGTGGATCGTTGTCATCGGATAAGTTGTTGAAACTACATATATTTTGTATAGATTTTACACAAAGAGGATGTATAAAAACAAATCCTTTCTTCCCTGCTGGATGAGACACGGGAGTTCTTTGATTGTATGACTGCTGTCACCTCCCTAGCAAACAGAGATTATTGACTATTGACAGGAATTAAGCAGAGCTGTTTGTCCAGAGACCTGTTACTACATACAAACCAATTTACTGTCAGTGTGACGATGGTGACGATGTTACATAGAAGCAGAGCAGCTGTTACCTTGCGTATATGTCCTAAGCTGCTCAATACACTCTTTCTCCCCATTAAATTGTACTTGCTAAAACTCACAGAAACTTAGGTGAAACCAGTGTGTGAAAAAAAGTGAACAAAACATGAGTTCAAAGAGACCACAAACAAATTGAATCAACAAAAAGGTAATTAACAGGCATTTAACAGAAATGAAGAGGAATGTCAAACACCAAAACTAGTGCCGTTTCAAAAGTAAATATTCTAATACTTTTTATTTAATGGAATGTCTTTATCTGTACTTAATTGGACACTATAAAGCACATTAAACGTGCTCTGGATGGATTTCATTTATAAAAAAAAAATCGCTAACAAATAGAAAACACTTTTAATTACTACTTATTTTTTTGCTGTTGATTTGAAAACTTGTCAACGTTTTTCAAATTTATGGACCGGAAGTACATTGCTTAATTGTTTAATCTCCCGATTCATGATTGATTTAGCACACGCCTCGTCCACAGTTTTCAAAAAGTTAACTATAAAAAAAGCGTATTCCTAAAGCATCTAGCAAAGTTTTTGGTCTTGCTGTGTGAATACTGAATAGTTTTGCGATGTAATTTGGATATTAGAATAACAATGTCATAATATGCAAATGGAAACTATGTATTAACCCTTCAAAGTATTCCAAGGGTTCCATTTTCACAATAATAATCAGAAAATATCAGCCCATGGAAATAGGAATTGCTATAAAAACTTGCAAAAAATGTGCATTGATTTAATAGTGAATGCAATCAAAATGATTTTGTGTAGTTAAGTTCTGCTTTTAATATAATAATGAATCAGGAAAGGTGTGTTCATCATTCACTAATATTTAAATATGTCCTTGGGTATCGAAGCTACTATTTTGATGATTATTATTATTATTATTTTATTATTTATATAGTGCCAACAAATTCCGTAGCGCTGTACAATGTACAATGATTGGTACTTTATATCTGTGCAGGGTGGGATGATAGCGGAGACGTAATGCACGTTTCATATTCGTAAATGACTCCTCTCAACATTTACTACAAAAAAATATTGTCCTTGTGTCTTCAATGCGAACTTCGACTGTCTGTTTTAAATTATAGACAATAATATCGAACAATTAAGAGTTGTATATAAAGGGCCAACTGATGTAGGATTATGAACAGTGGGAAGCTGATCCTTCTTGAAAACCATCAAATACAAGTTTCCACATTTTTCCCTGTTGGAAATATTCAGACGCAGAAGATGCCAGCTTGGTAGTGGATGGGGATTAGCTTCCTCCCAGCCCTAACTCCAGTGTTAAGGCAGCAGTAGATCAACTGTATAATGTGTGCACTGTTTAGCCATTTGTACAAGCAGAACAAAGGTTGAGCTTAGCCAAATTGCATTGCACTTGTGAACTGAGTCCCAATTTGAAGTATCTTTTACAGCAGGGGGAATGAGAACAATTTTGTGTGTGTCTAAAAAAAAAAAGGAATGATAAAGCCACTTTCTAGAGCATCTCAAAGTGAAGTAGTGAGGCGTGACATTCCCAGGGTGACATGGGACAATGGCAGGGTCAGGTGGATGAAAAAGAGAACCAAACAGCCACTTTCACATGTCTGCCCTAAAGTGCTGCACCTCTCCATAATAGAAAACAAATGTTGTAAAAAGGGGGATTGCTCCAATTCATTTAAAATGGCAAATGATAGCTAAACAACATTGTCAAAACGGAATCAACGTCTATGCAGAGCCACCCAGAATAGGCCTTTGTGTTTGATTTTATGAGAGGCTGCGTCACTTTTAACTCTAGTTAAACATTTGAAGAATTCTCCCAAGAAGATCTGAAACCCCTCTAAGAGTTTTAATCCGATTTCCATATATTTCCCCCCTCACGTTTTCCAGAAAAGTTTTTTTCTGCAAAAATTAAAACATTTTAAAAATAGACCTGCTGTCTACATTTTTACCAAATTCGGTAAAATATTTAAATTTAAAATTTGACAAGTATTTTTTTTATTTTTTTTTTACGGAGTCCTTTATTTAATTATTGAGAAATTTAAAGTGTATTATTTTGTGTTTTTCATGTTTTTTTTCTTTATTATTTTATTTTAAACCCAGCTGAAGGGAAAGGAAAACATTCTTGGTTATAGTTTGCTGGTCTTTTTGTCTGCTTGTTTTATCCAATGTATTCTGCTAATCATATACATGGTTTAAGTATACCAACAGTATATTATTGGCTCTTCAAAAGGTTAATAGAACTTCATTCATTTCTTTCAACTTGCCTCCTTTTTTTCTCTCTCATCAGTATAACACAGCTCTGCCACCCACAAAGCTGGCGAAAGAGGTCATGTGATTATAACTAACCTCCAGTCAACCAGAGGATGGCTAATTCCTGATGTCTAAAAGCAGCATTGATCCCTTTCCAATGAATGATCTTCACATTCAGCAAAAATCAAGCACTTTTCTACGGGAAAGAAAGAGGATGCTTTTAAATACTGTGAACATGAAAGACTTTAAGACACAAAATAGATTTTATCCATCCTGAAATATTCCAGTGGAGCAGCTCAGAATGTTAACGCGTTTGCTCATTAAGTAGCCCTGCATGTTTGAGCAACAAGTATGAGTTAATATTCAATGTACATTATTAGATTAGTTATGCTACATTTTCCTGCCAATATTGTTTTGCATAACGTACTAGGTCTATATGTTTTTTGATGGTTTAAAAAAACAAAATTAAATAAAAAAAACAAAAAATAAATATATATATATATAGACACACACACACACACAATATATATATATTATCCATTGGTAATGAGCTATATTGTGTTTTCAAACACATTGTATATCTCTTGTAATGTATTATCCAAGAGTCTCAATCAACATTATCAGGGTTATGCACAAATGTGAAAATTCAAAGTTGATTTAAAATTCAAGGTAAAAATATCCAAATTAGTAAAAAATTTCTAAATCAGCTATCCTTCCAGTTTGGCTACTTTGGCCTTAAATTTGAAATTTACTGTCTGTATTTTTTGGAATAAATTACTCTAAAAAAAAAAAAAATCTGTCAAAATGATCTGCTTCCTTGAATTTCTTAAATCATTTGTGCTTTTTACCACAGCAAAGTTAAAGCAGCTCTGTCACTTCTGAGTATTTCATAAAGATATAATCTTTACAAAACTCTTATGCTGACTGAGTTGGAATTTTATTGAAATTCCAACACCATGCAATAGGTAAAGTAGGGACTACTTTGTCTTATGGTAAAGCCTGAGGTGGACTAGAATTCACAAAAGGTAGAGCTCCACTATCAAACTTTGTTCAGCCACAGCAACCGCACGAGTGACGGAGGTGGGATTTAGGCATCATCTTGCTTATGGTGAGACGTGATCTATGAAGGCTCTTGAAGTATCTTTAAATCCTTTATAGACCTCAGTGTTGGACTCTTGTACAGCACCGACATGGCTACTGGCAGATGAAGTGCCAGGAGCTGAGGAGGGTACCTCAGAAGATGATGGCAATGACCTTAAGGTACAGCATCATATACCTGTCTTCCACTGGACCCTAACAGAACATGCCACCTTTGGGTTGGGTGGGGGGTTTGCAATAATGACAAAATTCACAGAGACATGTAAATAAATAAACCATCCAGTTATAGATAGATAAATGAGTAAACCCACATATGAGCCAGTTTAGTAAGATACAAATTCAAGCAATCCATAATTTTTAGATCAATGAGGATAATGTGGTTTTAGATATTGTTTATGAATTTAGAGAACACTTTAAAATGGCTCTTCCACATTGAATCATATTACATCATCAATGCTTTAAGTCTGCTCTAATTGGTAGTCATGTTCAAATCAAATGCTGAAACAAAATTTATACTTACCAATAAATCTGTCTTGCCATGGTACATATGAGCCATATTATGTGGCGTGAGGGTCTTATCCATGGACCATGACCACATTCATATGAAAAACTAAATGTATGCTTGCCAGTAAATTCATTATCTTCTGTGTGGTCTGGTCATGGTCCACAAAAGTCTTAACAAGTGGTTCTAGAACTTTATCACACTATGTATGACTCCCACGGGCCATGACAACATTAGGATGAAAAGTATTACCTCATGGTAATTTAATAATATCTTTGTTGCTTTTGATGTTTTCTTGTGGTCATTGTTTTGCCTGAAGATTAATTCATAGAGAAGTTTACATTTTTATGGCAGATGAAAAAACAGGCTTTCCCTAAAATCTACTGGTCCCCTGGTCTAATATGTTATCAACCCTAATTGGGGCACCAGGACCAGAGGAAGCAAAACAGTTGATGCCATCAGAATAAAAAACAATTCTGCTCATATCTCCAAGAATATATCGACCAAAGTGCTCTATTTTTACATTATCTGTAAAAGCATCCGATTTTTTTCTGACAGTCCTCCAAATTAATGCCAGAATAATAATATAACAACGTCAATGCTTACAATAAAAACAAAATGAATTATTGCACTCTAGTCCTGGTAATGCAAATATGTATATTATTTAAAGACTTCTTGACTGATATGGAATTAGCACTATTATAGACATCATCCATTTCATATGTTCATTTTGTCAGAGGAAAAAAATATAAAGCAGAATATAATAAAGCGACATTTATTAAAATCAGTGCTCAACAAGTAAATGAAAAAGAACATGCTTTGAGTGCTAGGTGACAGAAACCAATACGATTTTAAAGCTTGTATATAGCACTTCTTAACAAAATGTGCTGCCTCAGCTTCCTGGCAAAGTCTGAGTCTCATGGAAAGGTCCTCATGCATGCCTTGAGGTAGCTTGGAAGCAGGTGAAATGCGTCAGCAAGTTTGCTATAGAGATGTTGTTATCATGTCAATATGTCAGGAGGAAAGCTAAATGCTACAAGTGAAGCTGTACATTTTTTTTCCCACACTAAGAAAAGGGTTTGGGAAAGGTTGCAGCATTGTTCCAATGTAGTTTCTTTGGATTTAAAGTTATAAAAAAAAAAAAAAAAAAGAAAATAGAATGTTGTTGGGTATTGAATTGAATTTCTAAGAAAAAAAATCCATACAATGTCTGAAATTTTAACATTTAAATTTGTAGGAAAGTAACTGTTTTTGTAGGAAAGTAAGCATTACATTGACCAGTAGATGGGCACCATGAAACTAGAGACTGCAACAGATGGGCTAGTATGAGTTCAAGCCATGCATCACAAGTTTTGGGATATATAAGGCAGCAAGTGAACAGTCAGTTCTTGAATGACTTGAACAGGGGCCAAATAGTGATGTCTAGACAACTGGGTCAGAGCATTCCCAAAACATTAAGTCTTGTGAGGTGCTACCAGTGTGCAGTGGTTAGTAACTACCAATTGTGGTGCAAGAAAGCGAGGGCTATCATCAGAAACGTTGGGGCAAGTTGCACAGCTCATGGTCTGTGTTCGCGGTGTTCCCCGTTGAGCCTGCCAACAAGGATGCAGTGTGTGTGTGTAGAGTGGATGCAGTGTGCGCAGAGTGGATGCTGAGAGCATGTGTAGTGGATGCAGTGTGTTTATAGTTGATGTAGAGTGCGTCTATAGTGGACGCAGAGAGTGTATGTTTGGTGAATGCAGTGTATGTATAGTGGATGCAGAGAGTGTATGTTTATTAAATGCAGTGTGTGTATAGTGGATGCAGAGAGTGTATGTTTAGTAAATGCAGTGTGTGTATAGTGGATGCAGAGAGTGTATGTTTAGTGAATGCATGTGTGCATAGTGGGTGCAGAGAGTGTATGTTTAGTGAATGCAATGTGTGTATATTAGATTTAGAATGTGTGTGTGTAGTGGATGCAGAGTGTGTGTAGTGAATGCAGTGTATATATAGGGGATGTGGGTATGGTGGATGCACTCTGTATATAGTGGAGTGTGTGTGGTGTGTAATGGATACAGAAGGTGTGTAGTAGATGCAGATGGTGTGAGTATAGTGGATATAGTGTGTGTAGTGGATGCAGTGTGTGTATGGTGGATGCACTGTGTATGTTGTGGATGCAGTGTGTGTATAGTGGATGCAGTTTGTATAGTGGATTTAGTGTGCACATCTGTGTAGTGGATAGAGTGGTGTGTGTAGTGGATGCAGTATATCTATAATGGATGGGATGTGTAGTGGATGCAACGTGTGTGTAGTGGATGCAGTGTGCATGTTTGTGAGGCGTGTAAATATGTGGGATGGGGTAGCCTAGGGGCTGCATTCTGTCGGTAAAAAACTTTTTTTTTTTTTAATTAAAAAAATGACTTGCATTTTATTTTTCCCTCCCTACTTCTTATCTGTGGCCAGGGAGGGAGGACATTTGAGTCACGTGTGGTCCAGTGGCAATGTGCAAGCTGCAAACTGCAGGGGCCCAGTACAAGTAATCTTCAGCTTCCAGCTCCTCCTTGCTCCCTCTCTCCTGAGCCCAACCCTCGTATCTCGTAGAGTGTTGCTGTAACATGTTCTGACCCAGGGACTTGCAAGAGTTGGAGAGAGGAGTTGACAGAAGCTGTAGATCACGTGTTGGGCCCCCTATTCTCAGTGGCTTAGGTGCCCACAGTGCCCTGTCAAAGACTTTGTTTTTGCTGGTGAAGGCACTGAATTACAAGATCAGTTGGAGACTTTGTCTCCCTGAGAAGTTTCTGACCCAGAGGACAGCTGGGCCCAAAACAATTGTCACAGTTATCACACCCTGATGGCAGCTCTGCTCTGGAAGAACAACTAGTGAAACTGCATTAGGGTCATGGGTGCCCAAGTCTCATTGATGCACGTGGGTAGTGAAGGGGTTAAAAAAACAAAAAAAAACATTTGTTTTTTAAAATATCATGTTCTCCCTATCACAATTTCTTAAGTGATTTCATGAGTACACACACACAAAAGCATGCACTCACTCATGTACACACTACATCCTATTGCAACCACAGAACGTTGACATCTGCTCAACATAATGTTAACTTTAATCCTGCTGAAAGTGTTATCAACCCTCAGTGCTGGAGCAGAAGGATATATTTAACTTCTTTAATATTTAATTCTGGGAATATGTTCTTTAGATCTGACTTTAGAAAGGATTTTCCCTGCGGCAATTCCCTCCTTTGTGTTATTTCTCTGAAAGATATCACACAGATACGCAAGATTTAATCACTTGCCTAAAGAGGAGATTGTGGCTCAGAATTTTTTCCTGAGAGAGGAAACTTTCATGGTTGTGGAAAAGAAATTGAAAGGTTTTGAAAATGGACTTAGAGTGAATAAATAAGTGCTTTGCTCGTATTTTTAACATGGTCTTTTGTTGGCTGAGATAACCTACAGGAAGCTGAATGACATGTCTATCTACAAACTTGATTTCTGCAACCTAGTTATAGTTTCAACCCAGTATTACATAATTGTTATATATGTTACGCATACAATACTCTTTATTAAATACTAAACTTGTGCATTTGATTTTAAACAAAAGCAAATTATCAAAATTTTGCCAGATTGGTGGGTCATCCAAATTCCATAACTCCAGAGCGCCATAAGAACGTATAATGAAAATTTACATTGACAACGGCCGAATAGAT